AAGCATCCACAAATAATAAGACTACTAAACTAGTAAGGGAGCTGTCAAGGTCATAGGACACAGCATCTCTGTATGAAAATCGGTTGTATTTCTGTACACCAGCATCTCCGCTGTGTCGTGGCCTTACACTTTGTCCTACACACTCCAGCAAAGGACCTGATCGCCGCTCGAAGAGAAAGTAGAGGTCGTGAGATAGTAACACCCCCGTCACAACCATGGCGCTCTTCCTCCTCATGGCGGGGGGGTGGGGAGGCACCGCAGGGCCTGCTGTGTTGGCAGAGGGTTCCAGCCCTTCCATCTCAGGCCCGATTCACCTGCTAGTCCCGGAACGCTTTCAGCCCCACTTTTCTGGGCTAATTGCTGCTAATCTGTCAGGTCTTAACTTAAGCAGCTCTCCTTTGGAGAAGCTTTTCCTCACCTTCCCCACTCCCCATTGTTTAGTTTCTTAGCTTTCTATTTCCCCCTTTGTATCAGTTTTCAAGCTGTAATTAAATAATTTGTTATGTATAATGTTCTTATTAATTATTTCACAGTGCTTAAGGTTGCAAAAAAGAAAGTCACATTTCTCGTTTTTGCATTCAAAAATGATGTAAATGTGGGCTTCCCTGGTGGCACAGTGGTTGAGAGTCCGCCTGCCGATGCAGGGGACGCGGGTTCGTGCCCCGGTCCGGGAAGATCCCACGTGCCGCGGAGCAGCTGGGCCCGTGAGCCGTGGCCGCTGAGCCTGCACGTCTGGAGCCTGTGCTCCGCAACGGGAGAGGCCACAACAGTGAGAGGCCCGCGGACCGGAAAAAAAAAAAAATGATGTAAATGTATTTCAAGAAGCAACTTATCAAAGTTGGCAAGGAGGCCAGTTTTAGGCATTTTAGGGCATCACATTTGTCTTCCTCTAGAAGAAATGCCAACCAGAGGTCATCTCTGGCTCTCACTATTTAAATATTCCAGCAAAATAAACAAGCCATATGCTTTGTTGAAAGAAAATAGCACCACTGAATTTGCCTTCCTTTTTTTCCTCCAGTTATCACTTTTATTAGTGATATTCGGGAGCTTAGTTGCTTTGCTAATGTGCTATTTTCTGCCTTGATTTCCATCATAGCTGAGACTGAATTCAAGCAAGTGTGTAATCAGCTCTTATACCAATTCTAATATTGATGCTAAGTTGTTCCATATATTTATGCAAGACGTGAAATGATGTAAATGTCTCTTGTCTAATTTTTATGTGTCAAAAGTCCACTTATCTCTAGCAAAATGAAGTTGAATTAGATACTGTTAGCAGTGTTTTTATAGTTATGGTTATCAAGTAACTTTATTTTGGCTACAGGCAGAGATTTATTTGTCCTATAACAACACTTAATATGTATTGTTGCAGTTTTACTTACTTTAAGTATTAAAATGGCTGTTTGCCTGTAACAAGATGTGCTTGTTCCTGGTCTTTAACTTCAGAAATCCTCTGTAAACAGTGAAAACCACGTGGTGGAATCTCCAGAGTAGGTGGAGACCTTTTAAAACACTCTAATTCTTGAGCCAAAATTCCATCATAGTGTTGAAGATTTATCCCTTCCCCTACCGAGAAAAGCTACAATGTATTTTCCATCCTTTCATACTCGAACAGTGAAGCAAGGCAGCCTCAACTCTAGATCTGCCTTTTTTGCTGTTAAGTTTTTCCCATTCTGTTATTTTTGTATGACAGCATAAATGCATATGAAATAGCTATGAAAACAATAAGAATGCATTTCTTATGTGTGTGAAAATATTTACAAATAATATGGCTGATTAGGGGTTAATATCCAAAATATATAAACAGCTCATTCAGCTCAATCTCAAGAAAACAAAAGACACAATTAAAAAATGGGCAGGAGACCTGAATAGACATTTTTCCAGAGAAGACATACAGATGGCCAACAGGCACATGAAAAGATGCTTAACATTGCTAATCACCAGGCAAATGCAAACCAAAACTACAATGAGGTATCACCTCACACCAATCAGAGTGGCTATCCTCAAAAAGAACACAAGTAACAAATGTTGGCGAGGCTATGGAGAAAAGGGAACCCTCCTACACTGTTGGTGGGAATGTAAATTGATGCAGACACTGTGGAAGACAGGATAGAGGTTCCTCAAAAAAATAAAAATAGAACTACCATATGATCCAGCAATTCCACTCCTGGGTATGTATCCAAAGAAAACATTTGAAAAGATACATGCATCCAGATGTTCATAGCAGCACTATTTACAATTGCCAAGATACGGAAGCAACCCAGGTGTCCATCAAGAGATGAATGGATAAAGAAGATGTGGTGTATACATACAGTGGAATAGTACTCAGCCATAAAAGAGAATGAATTTTTGCCATTTGCAGCAATATAGATGGACCCAGAGGGCATTATGCTAAGTGAAGCAAGTCAGACAGAGAAAGGCAAACACTATGTTATCACATATATGTGGAATCTAAACAATACAGCAAATGAATATAACAAAAAAGGGACAGACTCACAGATACAGAGAAAAAACTAGTGGTTAACCAGCGGGGAAAGAGAAGAGGGAGAGGGGCAATATAGGGATAAGGGATTAAGAGATGCAAACTACTCTGTGTAAAATAAGCTACAAGGATATAGTCTACAGCAGCGGTCCCCAGCCCTTTTGGCAGCAGGGACCGGTTTCGTGGAAGACAGTTTTTCCGCGGACCCGGACGGGGTGGGGGAGGGGGGAATGGTTCAGGCGGTGATGCGAGCGATGGGGGAGCAGATGAAGCTTCACTCCCTCAGCCGCCACTCACGTCCTGCCGTGTGGCCCGGTTCCTCACAGGCCGCGGGGCCGATGCCGGTCTGCAGCCCGGGGTTTGGGGACCCCTGCTTACAGCACAGGGAATATGACCAATATCTTACAATAACTGTAAATGGAGTATAACCTATCAAAATTATTAATCACTGTGTTTTATGTCTGAGACTAATATTGGACATCAACTCTACCTCAGTTTTTTAAAAATTGGGGGTAGAGGACTGGCAAAAAATGAATACATATATTTAAGTATATTTAACGTGTCTTTGTGTTGTCACTGTTGTCGGATGGACAAAGGTCATGCCCCTCGTGTAGCCGACCAGACCGCACCCCTCTTAAATCTGATACTTGGTCTCTCTCCTTGGGGAGTCCATAAACGAGTGGTCTAAAACCAGGCAGCCTGGGTGAGAGGCACCAAGAAACCCCAGCAGAGCGTTCTGGGTTGGAAACACCACAGTCCCCTCTCTTACTCAGAGAAATGTTTATTGACTTAGGAGAAAGGAAGTAAGAAAGACAAGGTGTTCTCCTAGGAGCTCTGCCTTGTCTTTTTTTTTAAACCTAAAAATGAATTTTCTGTAACAGAGGTACCCCAGACTTTTTATCAGCAAAGGTAATTTCTTTATCATTTTCTAATTATTGATTCCATGTTGAAAAAAATTTTTTGCAAGACAAGTTCATTTAGTACATGGATTCTCCATTTTTGATAATCAAATACATATACAGGTATCCGGCAGAACTTGTAGTCAACATGAAATAACCGGGTAACTTCTATTTGATGATCTCATGTTATAATAGCACCTAGAATTAGAATCGAGTTATTTGTCATTGGGTAACACTTAATAGTTTATCAGTGACAAACAATTTTTCCAAAATAGTAACTCCTAAGCTTACAAACATGGTCATAGATGTTTCTAAAAATTATATGGTCATGTTCACAATTAATGTTTTAATTATTAAAGCAAAAATAAAATCTTGATAATTTATTAACAGTAAATAATAGAATTTGTCCCCAGTAGATTTATGATCCAAATATAAGCATCCCAAACTGCAAAAAGCCACATCTAAAAGTATTCTTTTTTTTCAACCTGTCACCTGAATTTTCACACACCATGTAATTGCACTGAATGAACTTTATGGATAATTTTGAGAGCAGGAAGGGAAGTTTGTGATGCATATGGCTTACGTAAGAAATAAAATTAACAAAATATTTTTCAGTGTTCTAGATGTGTAAATGGCTTGAGGCTGTCTTCAGAAAAAGTCTCAACAAAAGAAGCAAGGTGATTGCTTTAGAATTACAGTGGATGAGAGGAAAATGAGGTCAGCCTAAAGAAGATGGCGGAAAGCCTGAAAGAATTTTAATCTGTTATCCAGTAGGAAACTGTTAAAAGTAACATCACTTTAGAATGAACAGCCATCTTGGCCAGCCTTTACTTTTTTGTTTGTTTGTTTGTTTTTGTTTATTTTATTTATTTAGTTTTGGCTGCATTGGGTCTTCGTTGCTGTGTGCGGGCTTTCTCTAGTTGCGGCGAGCGGGCTTCTCATTGCGGTGGCTTCTCTTGTTGGGGAGCATGGCGTCTAGGCGCCCGGGCTTCAGTAGTTGCGGCACACGAGCTGAGTAGTTGTGGCTCGCAGGCTCTAGAGCGCAGGCTAAGTAATTGTGGCTCGCGGGCTTAGTTGCTCCACGGCATGTGGGATCTTCCCATACCAGGGCTTGAACCCGTGTCCCCTGCATTGGCAGGCGGATTCTTAACCACTGCACTGCCAGGGAAGCCCCTGACCAGCCTTTAGATCTGACTGCAGAGCTGTGACCTTAAGAGCTTTTCAGGGTTAAAAAGGTAGCTTTCTGAAAGATGAATGTGTATTTTTTTAGTCAATGAAAGCAAAAGGAGACAGATTTTAATAATCATGTAAAGAAAGAAATAATGTTTGGCACAAACTTATTTCTCTTAGCCACGATGAGTGAGAGATGGTTAGAAGGTTCCATATTTCTGGAAGGGAGTGAGTGAAAGTGAACATAGGTCTTACAAAGAACTACAGTGTTTGTGTTTACACTTAGAATTCTCTGGCTTATAACTTTTGTTTAAAGATACTAGCTAAAATTGCCAGACTTCTATTTTTTATATTTAGTTATTTGTTTTGTCTTTTAAGTGATTTTCTTCTTAATGGGAGTTGAATTTTACCAAGGTATATGGGTACTAAATAATATTTCTTCTTTGCTATAGGTAAAACTTTAGTCAAGAGGCTGACAAATAAGGTAAGCAATGGAGGTGAAGGTCTTTTTTCTTTTTCTTTTTTTTTAAGATAGAAAATCAACTATTATAAGTTAAATTGAAAGATTTTAATATGTTTATTCAAAGGATATTGAGGACGTACTGGCAGGAATCAAAAGAGCTGGTTGTGGATCAACTTTTTTTAGAGACCTTGGCGATAAAGGTAATTTTTATTTGTTTTACTTGTGTTTTATTTAACCAAAGTATTATTAAGGAATTAAGTTATGAGGTTTGCAGCTGCATATTGAAGAACATACATTAGAGAATCTACAGAGAGAATGTTATAACAGTGTGTTATTTGATAGATGTTTTTAAATCATAATAAAATACTCGTTACATTTGAAGCAACTTAAACTCTTTGAGCAATCACAGAAAAATTATTTAAACATTGATTTCAGTAAGCTTGGAGAGGAAGGTGAGGTAGAGCATCAAGAATAAGGAGAGAAAAAAAAAAGAAAAAAAAGAATAAGGTGGTTTGTAATCCACCTGCCAGTGCAGGGGGCGCGGGTTCGATTGGTCCGGGAACTAAGATCCCACATGCTGCAGAGCACCTAAGCCCGTGTGCCACAACTGCTGAGCCTGCGTGCTGCAACTACTGAAGCCCGTGCACCTAGAGCCCGTGCTCTGCAACAAAAGAAGCCACCACCGTGAGAAGCCTGCACACCGCAACAAAGAGTAGCCCCCGCTCACCACAACTAGAGAAAGCCCACATGTAGCAACGAAGACCCAATGCAGCCATAAATAAATAAATACATACATAAATTTATTTACTTATAAAAGAAAAAAAAGAGAAGAGAAAGGATTTGGGACTTCCCTGGTGGTCCAGTGGTTAAGAATCCGCCTTTCAATGCAAGGGACTCGGGTTCGATGCCTGGTTGTGGAACTAAGATTCCATATGCTGCAGGGCAGCTAAGCCCACGCACCGCAACTAAGAGCCTGCACGCTGCAACAAAAGATCCCGAGTGCCGCAACTAAGACCCGACGCAGCCAAATAAATAAATATTAAAAAAAAAAAAAAAGAAGAGAAAGGACTTCCCTGGCAGTCCGGTGCCACTGTAGGGGGTGTGGGTTTGATCCCTGGGCAGGGGAGTTCTGCATGCCGAGGGGTGCAGCCAAATAAGTAAGTAAAGTGATTATTCTAAAGTAAGAAGACAAAGCCTCAGAGATAACGCAGGGGACACCAGCATTCACGGGAGCAGAGGAGGAGGAGGTGCCGTGCAGGAGAGGAGGCAGAGGCATCTGAGGGGGAGAGGGAGTCTCGGGAGCCTGGGAGGGAGGGAGCATCAGTGTGCAGGGCCCGTGAAGGAAGGGGGTCAGAACGTGGTTAGGACTGGCGGTGGGGAGGTGCTCCCGCGCATCAGCGAGGGCAGGGGCGGTGCTGGGACGGGTTCTGGGGACAGATTGCAGAGCGTGGAGGACGGTGGTGCGGGGCGGGGCGGGTGTGAGCTGGAGGCCGGTCCTGGCGGTCTGTGTTGCACGAAGGGCTTTGAGCCCGCGTCTGGGTGTGAGGGGGCGGGGGGCGTGCAGAGCTCGGTGGAGGGCGCACCCCTCAGCGGGGAGCTTTGCGGCGTACCGCGTGGGGAGGGGTGATGTGCGGGTGTTTACCGCACATGTTTGCAGAGCAGGGCTGAGAAGTTGAGGAGGGTTTGAGGGGTGGCCCTGATTCCTTCGTAAAGTGGAGGGTGTGGAGAAAGTAGGAGGTTTGAAGTGGCCACCAGCTGGTTCTCCCCCTGCCGCGGGTGGCCGGGAAGTACACAGAAGCGTGCGGTTAGGGTGTTACTAGGCAAACGCAGGGAAGAAAAGTCGTGGGCTAGGGGATTAACGGTGTCGAGGGCAGCAATTGTACTTAAAAACACGAGAGGCTTTAAGTAATAAGCCTTGGAGAGAAGAAAGTAAGATGGGAAGAGCAATGGAAAGAAAGTGGGAATTCAGGAGAGAGCGGCCAGTGAGGGTGGGAGCAGGTGAGCTGGGAACCCAGGAGCGGGGCCCACCGTGCACGCAGAGCCGGGGTCTGCGCTCCGGTTCGGAGCGGAAGCTGCTCGCTGCAGGTGAGCTCGGCCTCGGGTGCGGTCGTGGAATCGGCCTGCTGGAGCAGAGTGAGTGGCAGCGTGAATGTGACAGAGGTGACCCCAGGTCTGAGAGTACAGTGTGGTCCTGTGTGCTGGACAATGGACCAGGCGCTCAGGCCTCCAGCGACGGAAGGCTAAAGAGAGGGAGCTAGGTAGGTGACCAGGAAGAAAGTTGGAGGTGGCCAGCTCGACGGCATCAGCCTCAGAGTAACAGGTTTCTGCGAGAGGTTGGAAGAGCAAAGGTTTGGGATGAGCGTGGCAGTGGGGAGAGGAGTCACCACTTGAGCCGTCTGCAAGGGTGCCGGCGTCCCGAGCGGAGAAGCCGCTTGCAGGTGCAGCAGGGCTCAGCACATGGCGACCAGTTAAAGGTGTTTACTGAGGAAGGCCATTCCGGAGAGCGTCGCAGAGCGTCCGGGGAGAAGCAGAGGCATGGAGGTTGGTTGGGTCCGGAAGGATGAAGCGCAGACCAGCTGCAGGCGTGTCAACAAGGAGGACAGAGGCCGTTTGGAAAGCAGGGTGTGGCCGCTGAGGGCGGTTGGACCTAAGCTAGAGAGGTGAGCAGAGCCTCAACCGTACGTACGCAGCGCGGGAGGGCGTGTCCAGGAGCGTGGGCCTTGTCCTGAGAACGGCGGGTTGCCGTGGGGGAGCAGTAAGAAGGCGACAAGTCAGATGAGAGAAACCCCTCTCGTCTGGGCAGAGGGGGCCGAGGCGCCTGCGGAGGGCGCAGAAGAGGAGACGGCGGGAGGTTCCGCAGTGACTGCAGGGGCCACGCGCTGGGTGGCGCGGTGGACAGAGGCAGAGCGCAAAGCCACTCGTCAGCCCTGAAAAGCCGGGAAACACTCTGTTCTCACAGGAGACACCGAGGTTTAAAAGCAAGATTTAACAAACTGAAGGAAGTGGGAGGCTCCCTGGCAAGTGAAGGGCAATGTTTTTGAGGCCTCCTATACGACGCGGGAGTGGAGGTTTCAGAGCAGCGAGCAGACCGTCGTGTTCTCGGCTCGGAGATGACAGCGTGGAGTGGCCAGGCTTCCGGGCTCCGGCTTCGTGGAGTCCTGAATGCAGCAGTTCGACCTGAGGGGAAGTAGACAGTGCAGCTTCCGGAACTGTGTTAGTTACCGTCGTAGCGCTTCAGACGGGCAGGGGGGCGGGGGCGGGGGCGGGGTTGTCCCTGGAGCTGCTCAGTTAGAGGTTCTGCTGGGCCCGGGCCATGTCCTCAGTCACCGTCTGGTCTCAGAAAGGAGGGTTGTGAATCTGTGTCGTTACCAGCTGTGCTGCTTCCATACCATAGGAAATACAGAGGGTACTGAGAAAGATGGTTAGTAACTTCTGTTTACTGTCTTTAACTTTCAGTAACAGACACATATATGTCTGTATCTCTAGCTCTGTCTCTCCATCTGTATGCTTTCTAACCATAGGAGACAGATCCATCAGCCTACTCACACACTTTTCTCACTCGATAGTTCTCGTTCACTGTTCTTTATGTATCTGGAGGACTACTTATATTCTCAAAATGAACAGGGGCCTCACACAGAGATCTTAAAGAATAAAAAGTCAGTGTTTCTGGATGACGGGGGAGAAGGCCCTTAGTGACGGACTGTTCGAAAAATAAACAGAAGATGTAAGTCCAAAGCAGAAAGTTGATTTTTTTTTCCCCCCTTTAGGCAAATCTATAAGGATATTAGCAGGAGAAATAGAGGAAAGAGAGGCTTTAAGGGGAACTAGAGGGAACAAGTGACTGCAGGGAGAGAGACCATGGTAGCATCCACTTCAGAGTCAGAGAGGACGAATGAAAATGTGTGCTGGGCAGCAGCAGGAGGAGAATTCAACCTAACTTCCTGCCGTTCACACGGGGGTGTATTAAAAACAGCCGTCACTAATTAGGACTGGTAAGGAAATCGGGACTTGATGGTGGAACTTACTGGTGACAAGGAAATTAAGCCACTGACAGGGAAATGCAGAACAGCAGAGCTACATGGCGGTGCGGGATCAGAAGAAGAGTGAGTAAAAAGGCCAAGTAAGAACTGCTGCGGCCTCCCCAGGTGCTGCCGCTTCCCCGGACGCCAGCTGCCCTTAACCGAGCTCCCACCTCTAGAGAACTTACAGGACAAGAAAAAATGTTGAGGAAGGACTTAACCAGACTTATTATTTTAGTTTTCTCTGAAATACGTGAGTTGAAATGTACATTCCAGCTTAAAGAAAAAACACTGAACATTTTATAGGAGAGATTCAAGATACGCTTTTTTCCAGATATACTCCTTTGTTGATATTAAGGAAGTCATTTGAAAAAAAAGAATATAAAATTTAGCTACATTTGGAACAATTTAAAATATTCTATTTTACCACCTAAAAGAACTATCAAAATGTATATTACATCATAACTAACAAAAGGGTAGTATAGTCTTGAAATAAAATAATCCACCTCCATGCATTATTATAAAGAAAAGTAAATTATAAGTTATAATTATGTATTTTTTGAAACTGAGCAGAATTCTCAACATAATAACCATCCTCAAGGATATACTGAATATAAATTATAACATATATTGTAAGATATAAATGTGTTCTTATGATACATGTAGTAATTTCTCTTTGGAGAACAGAGTTCTCAAAATTGTATTTAGTAGCAAGTCATATTTTTCAACGGTTCCAAATTTAAAATATTTCTAGAGAAGCATAGTAACTAACAGAATTTAATCATCTCTTCTAGTGACCCTTAAGGATTCTTTAATAAATTTTTAAATATAGGGACTTTTCTGGTGCTCCAGTGGTTAAGATTCCACGCTTCCACTGCAGGGCGTTCAGTCCCTGGTCAGGGAAGTTCTGCATGCCGTGTGGTGTAGCCAAAAAGATTTTTTTTTTAATATAAATTATTTAAAATACTTTCCTATTTGACATGCAGTTTTGAAACATTGACATTTAACAGCATTTATTTTACAATTCAGTGCAACAAATATGTATTAAACTGTTTCTCCTATAAGTATTCAGAAGTGTCAGTTTCCTTTAAAAGCATTTTCAGAGGCAGGTGCCTAGAATGCTGTTGGAGAGCTGTATTGTCTATAATCTATCTTGAGAGTGTAGGGTGCTGTTTTTACACTGTCTCAACTGTGTTTATTCAAGCATTTTATTTAAGTCAGTATTTCAAAGAATTTTCTTTTTCAAAAAGTTCCCCTGTGCACAGGACATGTACCTATGTCTCGAGAAAAGAAAAGTGAGGTCTCCTTTTGGCACCAAGCCCAGTTCAGTCCAGCAGTTTGGCCATTTTTTCACATTGCTGTATTCCTTTGAAAATTAGAAAAAAACTGTTCACTTTTTTGAGGCTGCCAAGATATGAAATACTTTGATCCTTCAGCTAACGTTAGAGCATTTCTCTCAGGTATGAGATATGACAAAACACATTTAATTTATTCTCCCTTCGTATAAACACTGAATATTTCTAGGAAAAAATACCTGAAGACTTACTCTAGGCTTTTTATTAAAGGGAAGCACAGCTGCTCCAAAATGAAAATGACAGAAAAATTGCTGATGTAAAAAACTGTTAAGTCATTAAGACCATTTAAATACATACTTGAAGTTGCCTGTTAGCTGAAGCACTGAACTACCTGGGTGTCAAACCCTTACCTGCCTCGTTTGCTCTGCACTGCTTTCGGCCGTGCGTCTCTGCTGTGTCTGACCAGGGGCCCATAGGGGCTGGTCCTCCTTCACAGCAGGATGGTGCAGGTCCGCTGCCGTCACCCTCTGCCAGGCTTCCTTCGTCATCTCTGAGCCACCGGGTAGCTGTGCTTCCCACTGACTCTTCCATAGGAACATCCTTGCAGACAAACACTCGCTTTTCAGTGTTCATATGCAGCTTCATCTCTCCTAGACATATGGCTTTCCCACTTATACCACCCCTGCTTCATTGCAGTTTCCACCCATCATCCAAAGACCACTTTTTTAATTAATTTTTATTGAAGTATATAGTTACTCAACCATAAAAAGGAGCAAAGACCATTTTCAGAACTATTTCCTCTGAGACATCTTCGGTCATCTAGACTCTGGAAGACTTCACCTTTTTTTGAGTCCTGGAACTCACTATTAGTATCTCTCATTGGTATTTCGCATTTTCTGTAAACATTTACATTTTGACCTCCTGGTGAAAGTATGCAGCACCATCTATTAAGAATTCTTGGGTCTTCCCTGGTGGTCCAGTGGTTAAGACTCTGCGCTCTCAGTGCAGGGGGCACAGGTTTGATCCCTGGTTGGAGAACTAAGATCCTGCATGCCGCACGGCACGGCCATAAAAAAAGGAATTCTTGCCAAAAACTGGAATCTGAGCACAGCTCTGGATCTAAGTAAGTACCAGTTTGTATAAAATATAGACGTTAGAGGAACATGTGAAATGACACCAAAAAGATGCAGTTAGCAAATCTACACTCTTAAACTTTGCCAGACAAACGAGCAGAGGCTTCTTTCAACAGTTAAGTTGAAACTGAGGGGGAGAAAGACCAGGGAGAACCTGTAGATTCAAATCAAGTCACTGCTACAGAAATTTAATTCCTTCATTTTAAATAACATGGTTTGACCTTTGGTGTATCCAGATCTCTGTCACTCTACTGAATTTATAAGTTTGCTTCACTTGAGATGTTATGAATAGTAAACTTTGAGGTGAAATTACACAAAATGCCGTGCAGATAAAACCTCTAGTGGACACTTGTCCTTGCTGACCAACGACCATTCCCCTTCCTTCCTAGTAATAGTGACCTAGTAAAAGGCTCCTTTTTTCTGAAGTTTTAGTACTATACTTAACTCTCTTATGAAAACTTTCCGCTCTACCAGAGAGAGGGGTAATCTAAAGTAACAATGTGTGTGTTTTTAATTAGGTGAAGGTTCCGTATAGTATGTATATGATCACTTCTAAACCGTCTAAAACTTACTTGGCTTTCTGATGTCTTTATCTCTTTCAGGGCTGGTTTCATATACCGAGTATCTTTTCTTACTTACAATCCTCACTAGTAAGTATTCCACAGTTTTTTTCATCGATCATGTGGAATTCTCTTGTCTTACCAGACAGGGTGTTGGAAGTTTGGTATTTATACCTTTATCGTGAAGAATGTTATTGGTGCCTTGCTTTCTGTACCTACAGGATGATTCTGTTGGGTGAGATTATCCCTGAAGTCTCACCACCTCCCCTGCACTCAGGCTCCCCACAACTTTGTCTCTTTAATTGAAGGCTTATTGAACTGAAGAGTCAGACACAGCCTTCACTTAGGAATATTAAAAATCCCTCACGTGACATTCTGCAAAATTCCTGACCAGTAACTCTCTGTGAACTGTCCAGGTCATGAGAATCAAGGAAAGACTGAGAAACTTTCACAGCTCTGAGGAGATAAGGAGACATAGCAATTAAATGCAACAGGCTTCCTTGTGTTTGACCCTAGAATAGAAAAACCATGGAATCCAAATAAAGTCTGTAGTTTAGTTAAAGGTGCTAATTTCTTAGTTTTCGTAAAGGTACTATAGTTACATAAGATGCTGCCATGAGAGAAGGCTGGCTGGACAGCCTGTGGGAACTCACCGTACCAGCTTTGCAGTGTTTCTGTAAGCCTAAAATTATTTCAAAATAATTTTTACAAAACCCTACTCTTGGGAAAGGGAAATAAAGAGTAGTAATCAATGTGAAAATAGAGAACGTACTGTAACAATATAGGAAAGCACCTAGTAGAGCGGAAGAAATACGTTCTGAAATGAATTTTGCTTTGAAGGGCAGAACACTTAATAGCAGAGCAGCACAGCGTGGAAACATATCAGCCTTTGAAAACTGTTATCCTGAGAGGAGATTGTTTTCCCTCTACATTAGGCACTTACTCATGTTGTTTCTGGTGGCTTATTTCAAGTTTGAAGACCTATAGATCTTCAGGTAGCTTGCATTCCACCAACATTTACATAATTATTCATTTTTCACTTGCAGAACCCCATACCGGGTTTCATGTTGCATTCAAAATGTTGGATGCAGATGGTGATGAGATGGTTGAGAAAAAGGAGTTTTTTAAAGTAAGTAGATTCTAGTTATTTTTGGTTTATTATAAAACACCTGGGTGTTTGTGTGATAATTTTACATTTCCATTAAAATGAAAATTATATTTACTGCTTACATATGAAATGTCAAGAACTCATTTATACATTCAAAAATATTAAATTTTCTATAATACAGCCTTGAGGAAACAGTTACAGAACAGAGCATGAGATTCCAAAAGGAGCAATGAACTTAAGCATCTGTATGTTTTAGAGTTTTATTTTTATGATTTCAGCAAATGATAATACAACAGAAAGCACTTTATAGATGGTTTAAAATTACTGATACACCCCCACCAAAAAAAGAATAAGGAAAATAAAACCTTAAGCCTTCAGGAAGAATAGGGAGGGAAAACGAAAAAGCCACAACAGGTATAAATTGGTTCAGATTCTCTAGGAATTCGTGAAGGCTCATAATTGAAAAGGTGAAATATGTTTAAGTGATATTTCCCAAGACATAACATGCCAGCAGTACATTTTACTCTGTTCCAAGGAAGTCGATGGTACTGTTAAAAGTACATCAGTGCACGTAAACTGCGGGGAGTATGCCAGGCAGAGCTTACTGTTCCCGATCTAGAGGAGCGCTTTATGGAGAAGATAAGTCAGTTCTGTCCTCTGTGTCTTTCTCCCAGTCCCCAGTGTACTGGGAAGACAGACCACAAGGCTTGTTGAAATTATATGTAAAACGAGTCGTACTTGGACTGTTTGGTCAAGTAGCCAGTAGCCACGTGTGGCTGTTAAATGTAACTTGTGACTAAGAAACTTGAGTTTCCGAATTTTAATTAAATTTAAATTTAAAAACTGACATTCACTTCAGGTATTGGCAGATTTTCAAGTATATTTGAAACAACTTGAGTATGTGAATCTACTTTTTAATTTTTATTTACTTTTTATTTACTTTTGTAAATTTTACAAAATCTAAATATGGATCAAGTACAGGTACACCTTGGAGAAATTGTGGGCTTGGTTCCAGACCACCACAATAAAACAAGTCACACAAATGTTTTACTTTCTCAGGGCAGATAAAAGTTATGTTTTTACTGTCCTGTAGTCTATTAAGTGTGGAATAGCATTATATCTTTAAAAAACAATGTCTATGCCTTAATTTTAAAATATTTTATTGCTAACAAATGCCAACCATCATCTGACAATGCAGGGTTGCCACAAACCCTCAATTTGTAAAAAACACAAAATCTGCAGAGCACAATAAAACGATGTGTGCCCGTATTTCCAATGAAATACATTATCTGAATGTCTTGTAATGTAAAATATGCACTGGACTTTGAAGAGAAAAGAAAAGAATGTAAAATATCTTGATTTTTGTATTGAGTACATGATAAAGTCATAATTTTGAGATATTAATTTCACCTGTTTCTTTATATTTTTTGCTGCACTTTAACAAAAATGAAACTGGAAACTACAGATGATAAATTATCTTTTATAAGGGCTTCCCTGGTGGCGCAGTGGTTGAGAGTCCGCCTGCCGATGCAGGGGACAAGGGTTCGTGCCCCGGTCCGGGAAGATCCCACATGCCGCGGAGCGGCTGGGCCCGTGAGCCATGGCCGCTGAGCCTACGTGGCCGGAGGCTGTGCTCTGCAACAGGAGAGGCCACAGCAGTGGGAGGCCCGCACACCACAAAAAAAAATACTAGGCACGAAAAATAACCAGTAATTTCAATCAGTGGCTTCATTCCAAAGAAAAAAGGCTTTGGTTCTAAAATGGATGTTACTTCTTTAAGTTAATTTAAATGTTTGTTATGTAGGTATCTATTTTTTCAAATGACTCCCCAGATTAACAGACTTTTTTTTTTTTTTTTTTTGGCTGCGTTGAGTCTTCGTTGCTGCACGCAGGCTTTCTCTAGTTGCGGCGAGTGGGGGCTACTCTTCATTGCGGCGCGCATACTTGTCATTGCAGTGGCTTCTCTTGTTGCAGAGCACAGGCTCTAGGCGCACAGGCCTCAGGAGTTGTGGCACGTGGGCTCAGTAGTTGCGCTTGCGGGCACTAGAGCGCAGGCTCAGTAGTTGTGGCGCACAGGCTTAGTTGCTTCACGGCATGTGGGATCTTCCCGTACCAGGACTCGAACCCGTGTCCCCTGCATTGGCTGGTGGATTCTTAACCACTGCGCCACCAGGGAAGTCCCTAACAAACTTTTTAGAATAACTGAACAACTACCGACACTGGCTGCAGTAAATGGTTTCTGCTACACTTCAAGCTGCAACACTGAGAATTTCACCTGCTGCTTTACTGCCCACTCACATATGTGTTCTTGTCATTTACTTTATGCTTAGATTTATACACTATACACCCTCTTCCAGATAATTTCTAAAGATGTTAAATATTTATAAACCTAATTTTTGTAGGATCCCACTGATTTATAAATGTATTCCCTACTGAAGACTTTTTTTGCTATATTGTTTGTTTCTAATCTTTGAGATCGTTTCCTACATATAAAACCAAATATTTTAGTAATTAAATTTGCAAAGCCTGTGGATGGATCCTTATCAAAGGGACATGAGGGATCCTTTATATACAATCAGATGTACCTGTTTAAAGAGTCCACTTGCTCATGTCACCACCAGCCCAGTCAAGATCTAAAACATTTCCACACTCCACAAAGTCCTCCTGTATCCTTACACTCAGTTCCTCCCCTCTCCTGGCCCCAGGAGACCAGCCAGTGGTCTGCTTTCTTCCAGCATAGATGTGTTCCTTTCCTGGAATTTCGTATAAATGGAATCAGAAAGTATTGATATGTACTCTTTGTTTGACTCAGATTCATCTGTGTGTTGCGTTTGTCAGTAGTTTGCGCCTTTTTATTGCTGAGTAGTAGTATTGTGTGGATGTGATCTGTTTATCTAGTCACTTGATGAACATTTTGGTTGCTTTCAGGTTGGGGCTGTTATAAATAAAGCTGCTGTGAATATTCATACACAGGTCTTGGGTGAACATATGTTTTCTTTGACTAAATATGTGGGGGTGGAGTTTCTGGGTCATATGCTAAGTATAAGGTAAGAAGTTGCCAATTTTGTTTTCCAAAATCTGTGTTCCATTTTACATCCCCACCAGCAATGTAAGAGAGTTCCATTTGTTTCATATCTCAAAGGCTTTTTTTAAAAGTCATAAGTTAGTCATTTATGTGAGTACTCATTAATTCATCAGTGATTTGTCTAAGTAGTTAATATGTGCTAAGCACCGTGATATAGATTGTCTTTTTACTTTTTTAATGCCCTACTAAAAAATTTAAAATCACTGTGTGGCTCCATTATATTACTGTTGGTTGGCACTGCTTTAGAACATACAAGGCTATAGATTTTTAGAAACTTTTTAGTATATTTTATTACATGCTCTTTATGACAGTTGTCTCAAATGCTGAAAAGGTTTTTCTTACTTCTGGGTTTTCAGCTTAAGTAAGAAAGCTGGAGGATTCCCAAGGATTGGAGTTGCCTGAAGTGTTCCTCTAGATACGTGAGGTTTCACTGTACTGTTCAGAGAAACAGGTCATGATCTTGTGGAATTCATTTTCTCAAAGTGGGAGAAGTTAAAAGTAATAGAGGGGCTTCCCTGGTGGCGCAGTGGTTTAAGAATCCACCTGCCAATGCAGAGGACACAGGTTCGAGCCCTGGTCCTGGAAGATCCCACATGCCGCGGAGCAACTAAGCCCGTGTGCCACAGCTACTAAGCTGGCACTCTAGAGCCCGTGAGCCACAACTACTGAAGCCCGGCGCCTAGAGCCCGTGCTCTGCAACAAGAGAAGCCACTGCAACAAGAAGCCCGCGCACCGCAACAAAGAGTAGCCCCCGCTCGCTGCAACTAGAGAAAGCCTGCGCACAGCAACGAAGACCCAACACAGCCAAAAATAAATAAATAAATAATTTTTTTTAATAAAACATAAAATAACAGCATAGAGGAGAAAAAACTATGCTTACATTAATTACTTAAATAATTATTTCATTTCCATGGTCATGGTGTTAGGAAACCTAAGTTTGTAGCATCTTCTATTTGAAAGTTTTTTGTTTTTGTTTTTGCGGTACGCAGGCCTCTCACTGTTGTGGCCTCTCCCATTGCGGAGCACAGGCTCCGGACGCACAGGCTCAGCGGCCATGGCTCACGGACCCAGCTGCTCCGCGGCATGTGGGATCTTCTTGGACCGGGGCACGAACCCGTGTCCCCTGCATCGGCAGGCGGACTCTCAACCACTGCGCCACCAGGGAAGCCCTGAAAGTTTATTGAAAGCACCAAGCAGTTCTTTTCAGATCAGAAAAGCATATTTAAAAGGCAGGGTTTTGTGGGTTTGTTCTTTTTTTCAGCTTATCTGAATGTTTCCCCTGTGCATTTTATTTGTTACTAGAAAAGTAATGAGAGTTACTTTAATACCCAAAACATAGATATAACAAAGTGATTTGAACAGCAAATGCAAAAGTAATGAAGAAATGTATTAATATAAAGTCTTGTAAAGATGTCCTAAAATATAAATTGCCTTAGTTTATTACTTTTGTGTTTTGTGGTACATTCCTGTCTTATTAATATCCAGATCTACAAACTGTGTTGGTAAGTGTATTGCTTACTTCTTTCTCCCAAGAACAAGTAAAATAGCAACTAAGTGTATAAGCCATTCTCTGTCAGATAATAACAAACAATACCAGCAATGATCAAAGCCAGTAATAGTAAATCCATTTAATTTTTACCTTGATAGATAGTACATCTGCTTATTGGGATAAGTGCCAGGGTTTTAGTGCAACTTCTTTAAACAATAAATAGACAGACTGACAAGTCTGTTTACTAGTATAAATATCTCCTTGGGTGGTCCTCTGGTTTCACATTGTTTCCATACTGGTAGGAAGGACTGCTCTTAATGCAGTCAGGTTATAATTTTATCATGCTAAATACACCTGCTAGAGGAGTTATTAAATATAATGGCCTTCAGTAGAATTTATCCTTCTTGATTTTGGAACAGTGTTCTTATTCCAGAATTTAATAGTATG